AGGCTGGGGTGGGCAGCCAGGGCAGGGTGAGGCAGGACTGCTGGGCACGGCCCAAGATCGCCTCAGGGCTCTGGCTTTGTGCCCAGCGGGGCCTGGCCCAGCTCCAGGGCCTGCCTGGCCCCTGCCAGAGCTCCTTCCCCGGGCAGGGCTGGGCCGTCCTGACAGCTGGGGCTGGCCGGGAGCCTGTGGGGCGACCCCACTGCTCAGGAGGGTCTGAGCCTTGGGCAGGAGGTGCCTAATCCCCCATGGCTAGAGACGTCTAAACTCCTTGGATGTCAGGATCCCCAACCACCTGGGCCAGGAGCTCTGAAATCCCAGGGGTTGGGGGTGCCCGGTCCCCTTGGGCTTGCTGTGGCTAAATGTTGTGGGCTCAGGGTCTTTACCCTTCCTGATGGTAGCTCCCAGATCCATTGGCCTGATGATCCTAAATCACTTGGGCAGATGGTGCCTGAGCCTTTTAGCCATTGAGGATCCCAAATTGTGTAGTTCAGGGTACTGAAATCCTTGACCTGGAGGCACCTAATCCCTGTGGGCTCTTGTTCCTAAGACCCTTGGACCAAAGGCTCCCAGACCACCTAGGCTGAAGACCCTAAGCCTGGTGCCTTGTCCCCCAGGGCATGAGGGGCCTAAACCATGCTGGCCACAGGATTCCTCAGTCACCTATAGTGGAGGATGGAGGTGCCTGATCCAGCTGGACTCTTTGGGTCTAAATCCGGCAGGCCAAAGGCGCTCAAATTCCTTGGGCTCAGGTACCTAATCTCCTTCAGCTTGTAAATCCTAAACCTCTCAGACCATCGGATCCTTGGTCACCTCAGCTGGATGCACCCAAATCCTGTAGACCCTTGGTTCATTACCCCCTGTGGTAGGCACCCATAAACCACCTAGATGTGAGGATCCAAGTCACCTGTGCTGAGGACCCCCAAATCCCTTAGGTGGGGGTACCTAATACTCCTGGGCTGCTTGATCCTCAAGGTCCATGATGGCCTGTTGCTCCAAAATCCCTCAGCCCCTAGTACATGACCCCTTCCCTTAAAGTTCTTAAATCCCATGGATGGGCTTCCCCCAAATCCCTCACACTCCAGGGATCCCAAATCACCTGGGTTTGGGGTGCTTAATCCCCTTGGGACAGAGCCTCCCCCCCCCAAAAAAAGGCTTGAACGTCTCCTAGAGAAGGTGCCCGAGGGTGGGGGGGC